TCTGCGATCTTCGATGGTGTGAACCAGAAATGAAAGACTTGATTATGGATAAAGTAAAGAACTGATGAGAAATCTTCCCTAAAAGGCATGAGAGTTTTAACCATTTAAAATATTCACACCAAAGGAATACGAAAGTAGAAAGGGTTCAAGAACAATAGGACATTATAAGGGAGATTCATAGTTAGTGTTTAAAAAGGCTAAAATGAGTTTGAATACAAAGTTATATGAATCGGATAAATTATATGACAAACTGGGTCAGATTAAATTTTTGTTTCTTGCTTGTGAAAACGGATGACTAGTCTTTTTTCAACGAGGTCGATCATTTTCTCTACTTTTTAAGTTTTGGAAAGGATTTACGATTCTTTCTCCATCCGTGGCTGCTCCTTTTCCGCCTTAACGCTATGTGTTGATCATCAAATTCTTAGTATCTGCAGCTATTCCGACTCAACCTGAAAACACCGCAAAACAAAAAACGAATTATATTTCTTATCTTGTCTCCAAATTTAAAAGTGATCCATTATATTGGTCAAACATCCTCCTGAATGATTATTCAGATGTTTATGCATAACCCTTTGATTGTTTGCATCCGAATTGTTCTTTTTATATTTATAAAATGTAAAATCCTGAAGAAACGCACTCCTAAATACGGCTAGACGTGATATAAACTCATAAAGTCTTAGGAATTCTACGCGTATATAAATTCCCGTTCAAACAAATATTCTGTTTTTGAATAGGTCTATATCAAGAATTAAATATACAAAAGGTAGCTTTTTTCTTTTCTTTTTTACATCACAAGAGGTCTATAATGCCTAGTTGACGGATTGTTTTGGTTTCTCATGGAGGCTGATAGTCATTTTTAATCATCAAGTTGTATCATGGCTTCCCTCGTATTCTGAAGAGAATAAGAAAATTTATATATATATATTAAAAATAATGCGACTGATTCTCCAAACAGATATATATTAATTGAAGTTGTTTAAACAAGAAAAATGTGTATTTTATGTGCCAAATAAAATGAGTATTTTTCGGCATATAATGAGCAGTTAAATTGTGACCCAAAAAAAAAAATTGAGCAGTTAAATGAAAAACACAATCGATATAGAGTACCGAAAGTTCTTGATATCTTCAAGTGTAACACTTCACTAAAAATATTTTAACCAATTAATTCCTTAGAAACTTTGTTCCAAGCTCTTTCTCAAAAAAAAAAAAGCTTTGTGTCATGCTTAAAAGCTTCAGATTCATAATTGGCTCACCTTAAAAGCTACCTTAGAAGCGTATATATATATGTACTTACAGTACACCTAATATAACGTAGGGAATCCAATATTTTCAGCACGATCGAGACACAAAACTTCCAGTCAAGGCATTTCCTCTGGTTCTTCGCGATTTTGTTTTTTCAGCTTCGCACTGCCATATCATCTTTAGAGATTTGATGTGAAATTTCCGAGCCAGAAAGTCCTTTGTTGTGCCATGCAATCATCTTCATGTTTCAACATTAATTAACTATGTTTATAGTTAACTCTGTTTGGTTAATAAAACTTGGTTTGTTTAGCATTATGTACAACCAAATTCAACTCAATTGGTTTAGATTACATAAATATAATATCAATACACACAACTCATTCAAAAGCATAGAGTATATTCAATAGGTTTTGCCTAAATCTGTTGAGTGGTTGAGCAATTCCTAAGGTATCCATAGTTGATGTCGTCCTTCAGATATTCTCTTTGAGGCGTGATTTTTTTTCCTCATGGCTTGTACCACATTGCCTGGCTATTTTAATGTTTGACTCAATTATTCTAACCTAATTAAATGAGTCGCAAAATAATAAATATATTTAAAAGGCAGAATCATCAAAACTAAGACTAGTATGCACATTATCAAAAGTAATATTTAGCGTTAGAAAATAGATTCCTGATTGAATGAATCAAATATAGAATTCCGAATGGATAAGTTTTAATTTTAATTAGTGTGTTGTTGGTATATAACAGTGCAATTGCTTATACACAGAAAGACCACCAAAACATAAAAGGAAACACACACAAACACACGAGAGCGGGATAAAATGGAAACTTTAGCCATTTTCGTATTTTTCATCTTATTCCAAAGCTTAGTGCTTAATGTGTATGGTTCATTTCTTCATGAAAATTCTTCACACAATATTTTACAAGATCCATCTCCATTTCCTTCCGATTTTCTTTTTGGCACAGCTTCTTCTGCTTACCAGGTACTTCCTTTTTTACTTCATTATATATTTTGTGTTCACGTGTTCCTCTCCTTACAAAAGAAAATATCAGACAGTGGAGTCGATTCTCAAATTTCAATTTATCTTAATGATTTTTTATTATTATTCGACGTAAATAGTATGAAGGTGCGTTCTTGACTGAAGGGAAAGGATTGAACAATTGGGACATATTTACGCATGAAAACCCGGGTATGTATTAATTCCTGGTTTTATTCGGTTTTTAGTTTTATGTATTGATTCCTGGTTTGATTTGGTTATCTTGTTAAGTTTGGAAAAAATCATCGATAATTTAAAATACAATTGCTTTAAATTACTTTTGTTCAGGTTTATACGGATAATATTCAGAAATATAACTTTTCATTTTGTCTAATATAAAT